TCTTCCTCCGTGCCCCCAAACGTTTGGGCATCGCCGCCACGGACAGCCAGGGCCACGTTTTTCTCTCAACACATAACACCTGAGGCGGCCAAACGCTTCTGCTAGTCCACACTGAGATACATTGCAGTGTACAGAGGGATTCTCTGGCATTTGCATGGGTGGCAAAGAGGGTGGCAACACCAGATGGGCTGATCCTGCCACGCAGATCTTTGTCTCTGAAGCCTGTTTATCAGGCCAGGCTGGATGGGAGTGGCAGGCGCTAGGAAACGTGTGTCTACCCAAAGCGGGCTTCAGCCACCCCTCAGCTGAAAATCCTACGCAGGACACAGCCTGCAAACAGCCAGCACTCAAGGGCAGCAAGAAGGCAGAAAGAACAGGTTGTATTTAGGAATTATGCACACATTTCTGTTCCTTCTGGGACTCTAACAAGCGATTCCTGAACTGCAGGTTGCTAATACTTTGAAAATGTTAGAGCTCTGGGCACAATGCCGCTGAGCGTGTGTGGAGTGACATTTCCTGGAGAGGAGTGTGGGGACTTATCTGAAAACTGCCTGCTTGTCTCCTGAGAACAGGGAACCCAAAGGAAAAACAACTGTAACAGCAGGAGTGCGAATTCTGTACAGTTACCCTAGTCTGTGCCTGTTGATTTCAGCAGGTCATGGTATGTGCCTCCGAAGATGTTCTTTCCCTTTCAACAACCTAAAAAAACCCCTCAGTTCTCTTCTCTGAGCAGGCATTTTGCAGCACATGAAATGAAGTCATCCATCCCCTCCGTGTGTGGAACTTCCCATTCACACATCTGCCGTGCATCGGGGACAATCCAAAACACAAAAAAAACCCAGAAAACACTTAAGGGCTATTATGACAGTCTGCAGCGTTTTCTCTTTGGCTCAGTTTGGACTGAGCCAGTTGGCTCCCAGCTTTTTGTAATGGTTAATTTTTTAACGCAATTATATAGAAATCCAGAGGCAGGTTTGAATTCGCTCTCTTCTACGTGCCTGCTGGCACTGGCTAAAATAGAGGATGATTATTTTCTTTAGAACGATTGTTTATGTGTAGCCAGATTCAATTGATCCATTAACTTGTATGATCAGCATAATAAGCTCTCTTTTATTGAATGACAGTACTATGCTTGTTTTTAAAAGACAGCAAAACAGCAACATATTCAACAAAGGACAAGGTCAACTTCTTGGCCAAACTAAACAAAAGCCCTGAAGACTGAAAATGGCTTATCCCCAAAAGTTAAATACCCTGGTGAAGAGGTAGGCCTCACTTTTTCTCCTGGAAGCCAGGAGATACTAGCATAGGTGGGTTCAGTTCAGTATCTGGGAGTGGCGGTTCACAAGGCCCAACTCCGTTTGCTGCAGGTGTCTGAAATTCTGCCGAGCAGGAAACTTCCGTCTTTGATTGATGGGTTGGAACCCTCAGGTGGGCCGTGGAGCCCCACTTCTGGGGGGACACAACCAGTGTTCCTTCTAAGCTGAGTTAGTGTCAGCTAGCCCACAGTTGTCTAGCCTCCAGCTCACACGTTTTTGCCTTAGCTCAGAAAGGATGGCTCCAGAGCAAACTAATTTATGCAGTAGCCAAATTGCTCACAAAGTAAACATTTTTGCCCACAAGACTCCACAGCTCAAAGGGAGCACTGGTCACGACCAGTGTTCCCTCTAAGCTGAGTTAGTGTGAGCTAGCTCACAGTTTTTTAGCCTCCGGCTCACACATTTGCTCCAGAGCAAACTAATTTTGCAGTAGCCCAATCGCTTGCTCACAACTTTAATGCCAGCAGTTCACAAAGTAGAAATTTTGCCCACAGGACTCCACAGCTTAGAGGGAGCACTGGTCGCGACCCCTTACAGCCCTGCCATTTTTGTTGTTGTTTGTAAGGACACGCCCAGAGGGACAACAGGGCAGTGAGGTGAGGCTCCTGTCACATGACTCTGATGTCATGCTACTTCCCACCACATGCTTACAATTCATTGGGCCTCCATGCTGCCACCTGGGGGTTAAAGGCGGGTCCGGCCTTTGGAAAGAGTGACGACCCCCCCTCTAAAGGATCCCAGGAAACAGGAGAGTCCTGCCGTCTCTCTCTTTACTCCACCCCCACCCCCACGTGCACCAAGGGATCAGGCCTCTTGTTTGGTCAGCTCCACCACTTGGTCTCGCAACTGACCGGGGAGGGGGGGGATCAAAATGTCATTGATCTTCTGAGATTCCTCATTGGTTGGCACCCCGCCTCCACTCTGGGCAGGCGCTGGGTTGGTTTTTCTCCTTGAATGTTCGGGGCATATAAGAAATTAATGTTCTCAGCCTGGCGCAGAGCTTTCCTGCCAAAGTCCCACAGCTCCAGTAATCATTAGCCGATCCCCGAGTGCATAGAGTCTGGGAGCCACACGCTCACAGCCGTCTGATCCTTCTTGAAACAAAAGTTTTGTTGTTGTTGCTTTTTTATAAAAAATAGATTTGGAAATAGTAAGCTTTCAAAAACAGTGAGCGGTCAGAGTGCTGAACTAGGACATAGGAGACCCTGGTTCGAATCCTCACTCTGCTATGGAAGCATGAGTGACCTTTGGCCCCTCACACACGTCACACACACTGTCAGTCTAGCCTGCCTCACAAGGTTGTCGTATGGAGTCCCAGTAACTTTGCCTTTTCTTGTCCCTCCCCCTTAATCTTCATTGTTGTGTGCTTGTTGCATTGCCGTGCTTTATTATTTGATGATTGTTCAGAGCCGATCTTGTATAGAAATAAAGCTTCCTTCCTTCCTTCATTCAAGGTTGTTGTAAGGATAAAATGGAGGGGAGGATATTGATGTGAGCCTCCTCGGGCACCCACTGGGGAGAAGGGGGGAGTCGAAATGATGTAAATGGCTGGAATATGCCTTACGGGGAGTGACTTAAAGAAGATGGATAAGTACGTTGTTACATTCCTACCTAGACTCATAGAGTCGGAAGGGGCCTCCAGGGTCATCTAGTCCAACCCCCTGCACAAGGCAGGAAATTCACAAATACCTCCCCCCTCCACACCCGCAGTGACCAGTGTTCCCTCTAAGCTGAGTTAGTGTGAGCCAGCTCACAGTTTTTTAGCCTCCGGCTCACACATTTTTGCCTTAGCTCAGGAAGGATGGCTCCCGAGCAGACTCATTTATGCAACAGCCAAATCACCTGCTCACAACTTTAATGCCAGTCGCTCACAAAGTGGAATCTTTGCTCACAGGACTCCACAGCTTAGAGGGGACATTGGCAGTGACCCCTGCTCCACGCCCAGAAGACGACACAAAACCTCCAGGATCCCCGGCCAAACTGGCCTGGGGAAAAATGGCTTCCTGACCCCAAAGAACGAATCAGCCTTTCCCTGGGTGTGTAAGAAAAGGCCACAAGAACTAAGCACTGAGGCAACCCTCCCTGCCCTCCCTCCTCAGGATCTGCCCAAGTTCACAGAATCCACATTGCTGTCAGATGGCCATCTCTGTTTAAAGACCCCCAAAGGAGGAGAGCCCACCACCTCCCGAGGAAGCCTGTCAGGAAGTCCCTCCTGTTTATAGCTGTTTAGCTAAATGTTTAGCTGAAAACTCTTGTTGATTTAATTTCAACTTGTTGGTTCTGGCCCGACCTTCTGGGGCAACCTGCCTTCTTGCTTTCTTTTCCTCCTTCCCCGCTTCATTGCCTCGGTTTTCCCACAGCGCTTTCATTCCACTGTTCATGAATCTGTCCTTATGGGTTGACGGCTGTTTCTGTGTGCAACGACCCCCCCAACCCCCATTCGTGTCGCTTTGACTTAACAGAGCAGGCCGAAATCCAGCCCTTGCCACGTCTGGTGCGCATCCTTATTGGCTGTGAAGGAGGCTGTGCATCCCACATGTCTGTCATCAAGTGCGTTTGTCGGGCCTGGAGGGGCTTGGATGGCACCAAAGAGGGAGGTGCGCGGCTTTGCTGGCTGGGTCCTCCTCTCTGGTTTAACGTGGACATTTCCCAGCAATCCCAACAGTAAATGATAAGGGGAACAGCAATACGATAAACATATAAGAACAGATATAAATTGCTGCAAAGTTCACATATTACAATAGTTCGACACTAATAAATTTGACAACGATGACGCTTCGTGATGTTTTAATTCGTTTGTTCTACAGAACACAAGACGTCATGGACCGAAGATGACATCAACTAATGCAGAGAGACGAACATCTCGAGTGGTTGTTCGTTTCGACAACTCTTTATCAACCAGAATTCAGTTCTCAGACTGTCTTTTTTACATTCAGTAGTGATATCAATCTTATCCAGCAAGGCTTCAACAGCTCACAGCTTAACAAGTCTTAATTTCGGACAACAAGTTCGTCTCTCTGCATGGATCTTCGGTCCATGACGTCTTGTGTTCTGTAGAACAAAGGAATTAAAACATCACGAAGCGTCATCGTTGTCAAGTTTATAAGTGTCGATCTATTGTAATATGTGAACTTTGCAGCAATTTATATCTGTTCTTATATGTTTATCGTATTGCTGTTCCCCTTATCATTTACTGTTGGGATTGCTGGGAAATGTCCACGTCAAACCACAGATTTGCTTTTTCAGAGGAGGATAGAGCTAGGATATTGAGTAACAATTCTGGGTCCTCCTCTCTACAGGAGCAGGAGATGGTTGCCCCAGTTGATAAAAGCACGCCCCACATTTGGGTCCTCCACCCATGTTGGTCACCTTGCCTATTCATGACCCCAACCCAACTAACCTGGGTGCTGTTTGGTCCTCCTCTTCTGCCGTGGAGCTCAGGGGAGGCAGGCACCCCCCCCCCCGCCTCCACGTCACCCTCACAACTACCACCCCTGCGAGGTGGATCAGGCTGAGGGAAGTGCACAGCCTTTTCACAACAGACTGGGGAACCCAAACCTTGAGCTCTCAGATCCTGGCCTAGCACTGTAACCACTAGGCCATGTGAGCCCACCACCAGTTCTTTAATGGAGCCGCAACATAGCTGAGCTGCCAGGGTCTGAACTTGCCACGTCTCTTTTCCAGATGCCAGCCTCGAACTCATCACAACTGATGCTGAAGACTGCACACGATCAGCTGCTTCGCTCTCCACCGCCGTTACAAGGTTCGTTCTTTTGTTGCACCCAGATGGGGAGGTGCGCGAGGCTGATTCGACAGAAGCTTAGGAAACACTGATAGGACCGGTGGGACAATCTAGCAACCTTCTTGGTACACTCCCAAGGAGGCAAGGAGGACTAAGCACCAGGATGCGCTTGTGGTACTGGGTAACCACCTCCTTGCAACAAGCTGGGCTAGGAAGAGGGCAGGCCAACCTCTGGAAGGGGCTTCACAGCTCCCCCGTCTTCCCAAACGTCTTCCACAACTTGAAAGCTCTCTGAGCGGCCGCGTGAATTTTATTGAGAAGCACACAGCCATAAGGGCTAGAACTGGTTCGAATCGGTTTCAAAAAATGGTCTCATTTTGTATTTTGGTGTCACCTGGCATCCAGCAGTTTTAATAAAATCCTTCATGAAGCCGCCTACTGTTCACGAGAGTTTTCTTTTTTTGAAGCACGCCTGACCGAGGGTAATAAAGTGGTAATTAGTACACATTCATTGTTTGGTTCCTGAGATGGGATGTTCTGTGAAATTGCAAGACGCTGCCACAGTGGATGCCTTGAAAGTCCCAAAAACTATTCCCATGATTCAATGGAGGAAAAAACTCAGTTCCCTAAATTAGAGATTGCTGCAGAACTGGGAGGTGATAAGGGCTAGAATTAATTCTTGCATTAGAGAAAACGCCCTGGGGTGATCTCACAATTTTAACCCTCCTGTATATTTCGGCTTTCCTCTTGTAGTAAGGAAATAATAGATTTGGGAGAGTTCCTGGCATAATTACATACATCTGGCTAACCGAGCACATTCTGAGGTTTGGGTGTTTCAATACACACTCCTCTCCAGATGAGTTCTTTCCTGCCGGTTTGAAGTTTGCCTTCTTAACACAGGAGAGAGCCAGGAAACTGTTCCCCCTCCTGCAAAACACAGGCCAAGCCCTCCCCCAGCCAAGCTCTGTCTGCAAGCAGACGGAATCCCTCAAAAATACTTCCAGCGGGGCCGTGGCAAACCTCCGTGCCAGTAAGATGAGACAGAAGTCTGGTGGCACCTTAAAGGAGAAGAAGAAACATTGCAGCAGCATCTTAAGCACAGGAAAGGCATTTTGTTAATCTTAGAATCATAGAGTTGGAAGGGGCCATACGGACCATCTAGTCCGACCCCGTGCCCATTGCAGGGCCAGCCTAAAGGATCTCTGGCAAATATTCGTCCAGCCTCTTCTTGAAAGCTGCCAGTGAATCTTCAAATGTTAGTTAGGTATTAAGAACATAAGAGACGCCAATGTTGGACCAGGCCAATGGCCCATCCAGCAACACTCTTGTCACACAGTGGCCAAAAATACCAGGTGCCATCAGGAGGTCCAGCAGTGGGGCCAGGAGGACACTAGGAGCCCTCCCACTGTTGCCCCCCCAAGCACCAAGAAATACAGAGCATCACTTGCCCCAGCCTGAGAGCCCCTATCTATACCTTGTGGCTAATAGCCACTGAGGGACCTCTGCTCCATATGCTTATCCAGTTCCCTCTCATAAGAACATAAGAGAAGCCAATGTTGGACCAGGCCAATGGCCCATCCAGTCCAACACTCTGTGTCACACAGTGGCCAGAAATACCAGGTGCCATCAGGAGGTTCACCAGTGGGGCCAGGACACTAGGAGCCCTCCCACTGTTGCCCCTCTCAAGCACCAAGAATACAGAGCATCCCTTGCCCCAGACTGAGAGTTCCTACCTATACCTTGTGGCTAATAGCCACTGATGGACCTCTGCTCCATCTGTTATCCATATGTTTATTGATTAGGGCCAGACCAATGCTAAGATTGTGCTCAGTGACCAAACAGGAGGCCAAGGGCTGCCTTCTACCGAACCAGACCTTTGGCCCATCAAGGGCAGTGTCATGTAGTCAGACTGGGACCAGCTCTCCGGGGTCTCAGGTTAGAGGTCTTTCCCATCACCCACCATGTGTTCCTTTTCACTGGAGATGCCTGGGATTGAACCTGGGACCTTCTGCATGCCAAGCAGATCATCTACTGAGCCACGACCCCTCCCTCTTCTAAAGGTAAAGGTTCCCTTGCTCGAAAGCCAGTCGAGTCCGACTCTAGGGTTGCGGTGCTTGTCTCCGTTTCAAAGCCGAAGAGCCAGCACTGTCTGAAGACGTTTCCGTGGTCATGTGGCCAGCGCTGTCTGAAGACTCTAGGGTTGCGGTGCTTGTCTCCGTTTCAAAGCCGAAGAGCCAGCACTGTCTGAAGACGTTTCCGTGGTCATGTGGCCGGCATGACTAAATACCAAGGCGCACGGAACGCTGTTACCTTCCCACCGAAGCGGTACCTATTTATCTACTTGCAATTTCTTGCTTTCGAACAGCTAGGTTGGCAGGAGTTGGAACTAGAGATGGGAGCTCACTCTTTCACGCGGCACACTCGGGTCTTGAACTGCTGAACTACTGACCTTCTACAGCCTGCAGTTCAGCGTCTTAACCACTTGAGCCACCGCAGCTCCTTCCCTCTTCTAAACGACCTTCTAAATAACTGTACATACCAGAAGGTCAAAGATCTTGACAGAACTCAGTGGGCAAAGAGCAGTAACCTCACATGACTTGGAAATAGCTGGTTCATGCCAGCTCCAACTTGGCTGCAATTGGCTTACTTCCTTGCTACCATTGGGGGCTTCCATCTACAGATTGTGCTGCAGAGACCCCCATTGCCCCCCCCACCCCCAGCAATTCTTCTCCTCGCCAGTCTTTTTGCCCAGGAGACCCAGCGTGCCTCCTTAGTGCTCCTTTTCTTCCTGCATTTGTGAGACTTCAGTGATCCTGAGCCCAAAAGGCTTGGATGCAGCATTTGGAGCCTTGAAAGCCCAGCCTGTGTTCTGTCTCAATTTGGGGTTGTTTGGGGGGAGGGGCTCTTTGGCTCCCACGTTCACAAACGGGATCCTGGGTTGGGAGGAGGCTCACGAAGAGAATGATAAGTGGGTCACTTTAGCAGTGGTGGCGAACCTATGGCACAGGTGCCAGAGGTGGCACTCAGAGCCCTCTCTGTGGGCACGCGTGCCGTGCCCCAGCCAGGCCCAGACCATCATTAAAGTGTTGAATTTTCTGCCAAATAATTTAAAGTCAATGAAGGCATTTGGGATTGCTTTCCTTACTTTGTCTGGATCATCTTAAGTTAATGTAGGAGTTGTTTTTTCTAAAGTAAAACCTCAGTATTCAGGTTAAATGGCCGTGTTGGCACTTTGCGATAAATAAATGGGTCTTGGGTCACAGTTTGGGCACTCGGTCTCTAAAAGGGTTCGCCATCACTGCTTTCAGAGACGATGGGCAACAGCTACGACAGCCCCAGTCTGTTGCTAAGGGATTAAGCTGGAAGCTCAGCCGCTACAAAAGAGTCTGAGCTCTAGCAGAAGAATGAGGGTCAGCCCTGGGGAAAGTTTGGTTAATGCCTTGGGCGTGGGGGGGGGGGGTGGGGTGGGAGCAGTGCATGCAAAAGCCCAGTCTTAAATTTGTGCTCAACATGGAAGAAAAAGAGAATAAAAGGCTGTTTTCTAAGCGTTCACAGGTTGTCCCGTCTCTGGGGTCAGCCGTCTCCCCTTTCTCATGCCCCGTTGCTGCCTTCCAGATGGTGTTTCCTGCCCTGGGTCACTCTGGAGGCAATCTCTGGCATCGTTCCTGGTGTAAGGGAACGCACAGGCCTCTCGCATTGCCTTTCAAGATCTCCCTTAAAGCGGCTTTCAGACCCAGTATTTTGTACCTCTCCCAATCTGAACAGATCAGGGTATCACTTTAGCATTAGTTGAATTAGGGAGTGGAATTCAGGCTGGAATTATGGGTTACTGTAAACTGCAGCCCCAAAATCAGTTGGCGCTGTACACTTGTTTCGGGGTGACAGGTTGCTTCGGCACACCCAAACTCTCCCCAGAGGTAGCTCTAAGGAATCGGGGGGTGCAGGCTGAGTAGTAACTCCACATCCACCAAGTGAATCCTTAACACAGCATCCCTGTCCTTGGGCTTGCTAGTGGTGGGAGTTTGGAACTGAAAAAGATGTCAATCCCTTTCCCCAGCCAGGGCCTTCTTCGGTGCAGACCCCAGCTCTAAAAGGCCTTGTCCCATGAGAGTTATGGAACCAGGGGCAAATGTGGTGTAAACTGGAGGGTAGGCAATTTGGCTTTCCAAACCTAGAAAAAAAGTCACTTTCCATTTTGGACACACGTCAGGTCAATCCCATGGGGCCATTCCACTCAACGCTGGCAGCGTGAGGAGCCTTCATGGAAGGCCACAGTCAGATGGGCAGGATGAACGAGGAAGGGGTCCCCGTGGAGCAGGCCCTGTTGAGCAAGTGATTTTCATTCACCAAACAGGGTTGGGGGAGGGAATGGTGAGAGACGGCTCCATTTCAAGGTTTCTGTGCTGGGATTTCAGAGTGCAAACAGGTCTACCCTGTGAAAGGATAACTTTGCACAAAGGAGCGGGGAATCGAATGGTGTTTCTCACGCTCATTTGCCCCCTTTCGTCAAAGCGCATTTCAAAAAGAAAAGCGGGGTGGGGGTGGGGGTGGGGACTGCCTGCCTCTGAAAACAGCCGCACGAACTTCACGCTTCTGGCAATGGGGACTCTCTTTCACAGGCTGCCCTGGACAAAACAGCTTTCAGTTTTCAACAAACCAGCCTCGCCTGCGGGACTGATCTGCCCTCACACTGTGCTCTGCGTCTGTCCATCTGTCCCCCAGGCGTATCTTTGGGGAGAGCCACAAGGAGTCCTGAAAATTCTCAGAGCAGAATCTGGCACAGAATCCTCTCTTGCTTTTCAGTGAGAGCCACCAAGCCAGCCTGCAAGAGAAACAGATGGGAAGCATCATTAAAAGAGGATGGAGAGAAGGCAACCGTAAACGATAAAGGTCGTGGCTCCTACCGCATGTGCCGGTGCCACCGCATATGTCCGGGGTGGGGTGGGGTGGGGGCGGAGGAATACTTCTGGCAGGCAGCCTGGGCAGTGTTGTGTAGGCAGAGCTGGTGGGTCAAAGGGTTGCCAGTTCCGGGTTAGGGAATTCCTGGAGGTTTGAGGGTGGAGCCTGGGAGGGCACGGCAGGGCCTCAGCAGGTTGTTAATGCCGGAGAGGACCCCCTCCAAAGCTCCCATTTCCTGCAGGGGAACTGACCTCTGCACTGTGGATCGGTCATAACTCTGGGAGAACTGCCGGTTCCGCCCGTAGTTTGAGCAAACGTGGAAAAACACCGTGTTAAAACACACAATTCTGATATGCTACTGTGTCTTCTTATATTCATTTAAATCATATACTTAAATATACAATAAAGACCCCAGTGTATCTTATTAATTATAATACATTGATAACAAAAACATAGTATCTTATTAATTATAGTACATATAATTATAGTACATAGTATCTTATTAATTATAGTACATTGATAACAAAAAAG